CTACAGAGACTGTGAGAGATCCATAAAAACAGCTAGGCAATAACTGAGAGACTGACAGACGCTCTTAGAGACGCTGAAAGACTCTGAGAGACTGGAGAGACTGAAAATTTTTGTCTAGGGAGACTAAAGACATCTTTACTCTTTCCTAATTTTATACATTTCCTAGGAATTGTATAGAATTCCTACATTTCATACATTTCCGGTAACAGATATAAAATGATCGCTTTAGAATATTCCGTTGCGATCGTTAGCTATATTGCAGATCCTTGCGGGTATTGATTCTCCATTTTAATAGATGCTTGTATTTGTACCTAGATATACATGTATCTACAATGTGTATGTGAAACTAAAATAAAAAAGTTCTGCGATGGCTTTGACTAAAATGGGTATCAAATGAACGAACATGTGCCACGGGCAGTGCATTGGTTGATTGTTGTTGTAGAAGTGCTCGCATCATAATGTATTGTGTTCATGCGGATACAATGCACGTGTACAGTGTAGCGCATACATCATTATTAGCTGAACCTTCCCCGACGTGATATTTAGATTTATAACGGCACATATAAAGGAACTGGTCGAATGCATTGATCAAGGATCGCTCGAACCGAACGCCTTCTTTGCCTCTAACGCTAATTTTCTTGGGAGCATTTTTAGAAAGGTACCTACACTGAAGTCAAGGATACACACTTAATTACATCTGGTACGTTTATCTCTACGTATATACATTTAATAAATAATGCAATATGCAGAAAAAATGATCTGTTGCTATCTTTCGATTTCTGCATAGCAATCACAACAAGAACAGAAGTGAGTAAGTGCGATCCTTGAGGTCTAGTCTTCCGACTATGATGAACTAAACAATTATAGAAATAATGATGACACACATATTCAAAAGTTTTTATTTGCCACCAGAACAAATCATATTCAATAAACACGAAATCTTAAATTCTACTTTCTTACAGTCTGATTTGTTTAAACAAAAACACTTGAATATGAAAACTACATATATTCTAGCTTGTTTACTACAAATGTATTATTTTTAATAATTTTGTTTGCATAACATCATAAACTGGAAGCGGTATTGACAAAACAGTATTGTATGAATATAAATAAAAGTAAAACAAAACTACTGATATACAAGGGAATAAAAAAAAGGGAAAGAGCGAATACAAAGATAGGAAACGAAAAATTAGAAGTCAAGTAAGTCAGGACGGAAGGAGCAGTAGGGATATAAAGCAGAGGATAGCGCAGGGTCGTGTCGCCTTTAATAAAAAGAAGTCACTTCTATGCTCGCGAACGGTTAATTTAGAAATTCGAAAAAGCTTGTTAAAGGTGTATGTTTGGAGCACGGCGCTGTACGGGTGCGAAACATGGACGGTGGGCGCGGCGGAAAAGAAAAGGCCAGAAGCGTTCGAAGTGTGGTGTTTCAGGCGAATGGTGAGAATACCGTAGATAGAGAAGGTTAGAAATAAAGAGCTTGTATGGAGAAATATCATTTTTTCAAGGTACGCACGGAAGGGGTTGAGGGGGTCGAAGCGGCCTACATTGGGTTAGTTAGGTTTATATCTATGTTACTATGAAAAAGGTTCTTGCTATCAAAAATTAAGGATTTCTGATTTCCTTAACAATGTTTATTTTCGTCTTAAGAATAAAAACAATCAAAATTATTGATTTAAGAATAAATTTGTTTTTTTATCTAGAAATATTGTTTTTCCAGTGCACTCACAATATACATATAACCGAAATAGAAATATATAGAACTTTTTAACATTTGTTAATGTTAAATAAAAAACAAAAGGCAAGGACGGATGTTTTATAAGAAGAACAGCTGCCGGTAATTTATTGAAATAATAAATGTGTTCAATCAATCAATAATCTTCGGCGCACACTTTATAACAATTCACTTCCTGCTGTACATGCTTTAAACAATACAGATATGCGTTTCCCGTAATTTATCATTTGGAAGTTTTAATGCATTAGATGATTAAATATCACGTATGATGTTGTGTAACAACAGACACTTAGTTTACATTCGCAGTTATGTAACATAATATGACAATGAATTTGTCATAATCCCATCAAGTGCGTTAAAGAATTTTCAGGGAAAGGTTACATGTAGCATTAATTTAATTGTATCGAAATAGGTTGAAATAGGTAAGTACTAAATAATCTAGTAGAAGCATAAATTAAAAAAAAAAAATTGAATCTGAAGATGGTTGAATAAACCAAAACGTAACAAAAAACAAAGTTGCTTAATTATTTGACTGCCACCCTGGAAAAAGGAAAAACACAATATAATTTAAAAGTACGTAACGGTTAGGTTTTTTCATAGTAGAGAGAGATAGATAAGGGATAGGGAGTANTTAGCAAAAAAGTTATTTTACAATATTTGTATTAAAGTATGAAGTATATAAGTCCCATTTTTATTCTCCACTTAACGAACTTCAATCAGAATAAAAGAATAGTATATTTGATATTTATTAAGCTAGCTAAACAAGTCTTAATCTTCACGAGTCAGACCTGTTTTCCGAACAAATTTCAGGAATAAACTGAAAGCATATACAAATTAGAGAATTTTTCCTCCTAATTTAAATACTAATCCAAAAAATCTTTGCAGATACTTTGTCAAAACATCTAAATTTATAGTGTATTATTAATATTAAGTGCGGTAAGTAGGGGCGGACTTCCGAAGCTTTTTAAAATGGTTCCTGTTGACTCCACCAGATGACAAACTAATCGAATCTATCTTCTCAGCTCTCTCTCTCTTTCTCTCTACAAGTAGTATGTAAGAGGAAGAGAGATGTTCACTAACACATTCGATTTTTGGTTAGCGTTACCAAACCCAGGGAAATTTCCCTAAACGTGGGGACTTTTGATATAAATTAGTTGCTATAGGTATGTCTTCTGAAGATATCTTGGTAGGGTGAAATAATTTTCAAGATTAAAAATAAACATTACAAAAAGAAACACATGAAAACTTTTATTTATTCATAAAGATGTTTCCCTATAAAGAAACGTAACAAACAATCAATTATTTGAAATAAATTTTCGTATCTATATTTATGTAAAATAACTGCTTAGATATATAACGAAAGAAATTATATGAGTTCATTAGATTTTTTTTGTGTTATCATACGATATTATTATTAATCAGGTTATGTTACCGAACACCCTGTATTAAATCATGAATTATGTTACAGTAATATCTACATCTAATTATGCCCACGCTATTGCTACTAGTATTCAAGCACATGTCAAGCGGTAGCTACATTGATTTACATTCTCAATTCCAGTAACAATCAAAACTGGGTCACATTATTGTGTGCAATTAATTGAAGGGATACACGGTTGCGGTGGGAGTGAATGTTTTTCTAATGGACATACCATCAACATAAATGGACACTTATGCAAAATACTACAACCATAATAATAATCGTACAAATTCGATACACTTTACTTTGCACTGTAACTTGTTGGTTGCTGGTGAGAAAATGGGTTCGTGAACCATAATATAAAAGATATTTTGCTGCCCACAAAAGCACTTAACATGCCACACACGTGGTGTTTTTTGCATCCACATGTGCAACTGTAGTACCTTGATGGACGGGAACTACCTTTGCCATAGATTCTAACACAAAAATATTGTGCAATATGAATCTAATGATGGATAAACTTGCATACTCTTATTCTATAATAAAAATTACTACGTGCTTCATGTTGAATACGACACACTGATAAAAATTTTAGTATTGTAATCCCAAAAACAGTATGATATGAAATTACATAAAAGTACAACAAAAACAGTGGTATACAAGGGAGAAAATGTAGGGAAAGAGTAATAGGAGTGATAGGAGATGAAAAATTACAAGAAATCGTTGATTTTCGGTATCTAGGAAGTCAGATAACTCAGGATAAAAGGAGCAGTAGAGAATAAAACGAAGGATAATGTAGGGTCGAGTCGCCTTTAACAAAAAGAAGTCACTTCTATGATCCCGAACGATTAAATTAAAAATTCGAAAAAAAATTGTTAAATGTGTATATCTGGAGTACGGCTGTGATGTACGGATGTCAAACGTGGACGGTGGGCGCAGCGGAAAAGAGAAGATTAGAAGCGTTCAAATCGTAGAAGTACGAGAATAGAGGGCGCTACGGAAGTCAATAAGTAGGCGGAATAGATTGGTAGGACAACGTATCAGGCCTAAAGAAACATATTAGAAACAGAAACAGGAGTTAAGAGAACTAAATGTAGACCTAGATTAGATTATTGTTCATAAACAGTCAACGATGTGAGACGTTCTATTTTTAGGAAAATGCGAAGATTAATTGAGGCCAAGAAAGAGTGCAGGTGCGTGTCCAACCAGATTGACGATTCTATGATGATGATGATGATGATGAATGCCAAAAACGGGAGATTATAATCAAGTAGTATACATTTATTCGTCAAAGATTGTCATATTTACATTTTGTGAATGAAAATTTATAATTTCTTTTATTAATTACGAAACCGACACACACGTTTCATTTCTTGTGAGGTTTCATCAAGATTCTTTTGATGTATTTTGTTTCAAATGGTTCGGTGTATGCATCTGTAGTATAACAACCAATTAATCGATTATAACATCTCGAAATCGTCCATCACTAACCCAGACTGTACCAATCATTTGATACCATTCACGACAGTCTGCAACGACTCGAGTTTTTTGCGCAAAATTTGCACCAAAATCTTGTAATGCTCGTTTTGGTTTTAATTTTTCATGAACGTGTAATACCGATGTCTACATTTATATGTATACTTAAATTATTAATTAAAAAGGACTCCCTACGGTAATTTATTTGTTTCAGTAATTGTAATTCCTTATTAAACTAATTTTTTTATCGGATTGTAGAGTAAACTGTTCTATTTCAATTGTGTACTGAATATTAATTTGAAAATTCATTTTCAGTTTTTATGCACTATAAGTTATCTCAAATTGATGAGGAAAAATTGGTTGCTGTTACCATACTCTCGCCGGGAATGGAACCCGGGACCTTTGGCTTCACACGCCAATGCTCTAACCACTGGACTACGAGAGGTGACAACAGCAACAACCACGAATCGTACTTATTAGGTCACAGACAGAACGAATGTATATATATTAATACTTTACTTTGTATACATTAGTAAAGTATTAATATACAAGTATAAGTATTAATATATAATACAATTCTACTAATTTGAGTTAACCTATAGTAACTTATGGTGTTTAAAAATTTAGAATTAATTTTTAAATTAATATTTAATATTAACCACTAGAAATTTTCAAATTGTGTACTGAGACATTAAAGTGAATTAATATTTTTAACACTACATATAACCTTAAAATAATGAGAAAAAATTGTACTAATCTATTATCAGCTTTAATGTATGAAATTAACCTTACAAAGTGTCTCACGGTATATTCAGAGTTAATGTCACCAAGGAAACGTTCATCTTCATCGTCTTCCAGCGTTCCAGCTGTGATATCGAAGCAAATTACAGGAGCTTATAATAATTAAAAGTTATTATAATGTAAAGCATCCTCAAATTACGTACGTAGGTACATTGGCTGTCGTTGTGAAAAAATGAACAGAGAGAAATAATTGCGGGCTCATTTACATTTTATTCATATATTACAAGAACGATGTTAAACTTATGTATAAGTATGGTGTAGTTATGCGAACGTGTTGTACAATACATACGAACGGATGTAATAGCTGCATGTCAGGTAGCAACGTGCTAAATTAGTCACAGTCATTGTAAATGGGCTTTTGGCTAGTAACAAATTAGTTATAATTACAGGTTTCTTTATTGATACATTAATTTAAAGAATGACCGCGTGCACTGACAGTCTTCAAGATGCTACCGTATATTTTTAAAATTATCCGGATTACAAAATATGCCGCAACGAGATTTTAATTGTAACATTCATAGCAATAAACAAGAAAAATATGTAAATATGTGATTAAACGCTCTTACGTAAAATATATCATCGCAACATTTATGCAAATAATTAATTATCTTACCGCAATGGTTTATAGAGGCCTTCTTACTGATCATATCACATGCAAGGTGGCGGCAGTTTGTCATGTATATCAACCGAGATGCTGAGGAATAGTAATAAATTTTTGTAAATAAAGCATTAAAAAAAAACATTTTGTATTGTCGCTTTGAGGGTAAACCTCTTTCCCAACTATTTTAATTGCTTAAAGACTTAAAACACGTCCATAGATGACCTAATAATATTTATATGCACTGTAGTCATCATCGCGCATTTAAAAATGTTATACAGATGGACACACTTTAATCTATAATCACTTTTTGACTTACAATCAACAACTTGACGTTCTTCAGCGTAAGGCCCTTATAGACGAGCGTAGGTGACGTCCGGCAGTTAGCGTACTTCATTTGCAGCGGTCATAGAAATCATTAGCGTTCTGTGCTAGCGTCTATCAAGGGATAGGGTACTGCTGATCATTGATCAGATCAAGGAAAATTATACTATACTATGATCAATTCCTGATCAGATGGCTGGACCAACGGATAGAGTACTGTACTTTGATGAGAAACTGATCAGATACCTTGATCAAGGGAAAAGATACTGAACGCTGATCAGTTCCTGATTAGGTGACCAGATCAAGGGATGGAGTACTGTACACCGATCAGTAACAAATCAGATGGCCGTATTACGGAAAATATGATCATAATCCAGGTTCTCTGAACTAATTTCCAGTCGAAAACGGCAAACTTTTGGATCACCAACAATTTACTTAATTTTCTTATTTTATTATTTTATTTCTTATCATCTTTTGCAAACTTACTGACCAAACAATCATAAAAGTTGGATTTTATTCCTATTTATACCGCATACTATTAGATGATTTTTTGTCTGATGAAAATCAATGTAAAATGAAAAAATTTGGGAATCGCCAAACATTTACAATTTAGTTTAATATTTTATTAAGTTTACTTTCTATTTTTGTTGTTGTTTGGCTTTGAAACCGTTACTGTCTTCGCAAACGATTAGGCGTAATTTAAATGAGCCATTTCGACTATTTAGTCTGGATTAGCTGCGACATATCTACTATTTTAAAAGTATCGTTAGATTGTTCTGTTGTTATCCTGATTTGGTTATGAAAGCCATCAAAGGAAATTTAATTTTGGTATAAACAACATACTTAGTTTTCCTAGCAACATGTCTACGTGCTAATGTATGTATATTTTATTGAATTAATTATGTAAATAAAAATTGAAAAATCATGTAGAATTGCTGTTTGAATAATGATACGATATCCAAACGTTTTTTTAACATGTAAATATCATTTTAATCAACATCTATTTTTAGAATTCCGTACTATTTCAATATCTTATTTTCAGACGTTGTTATCGGCAATATCAATATTTATTGTAAATTGTTATAATCTTCTTTCATGCAAAAACGTTAGTGCAACGCAAACAGTTTTGTAACCTTACAAAATTTAAAAATAAACTAAATTATTTTTTAAACTTAAAAAAAATACATTATCTACACATCTAAAGTTGAAGTGTGCGTCTGTTATAACGAAGTATCCGACATTTTGGCTACAGACACGAAGAGGAGGTTTCAGAAGTGATCTAGACTTCTAGACCATCAGTTCCTAGTTTCATTTTTACTATGGAGGTCTTGTTGATACACCTTTTTTGTAAAAAGAGTAAATTGACAATAGTTTTATTTCTAAGCCCTCCGTCATGTTATGATTATTTACATTTGTAATGCTTAACTTAAAAAGAAATACTGTATTTTGAATTCAATATCTTTATTACGCCTAAGTAATATTTAATAGAAGAACACAATTTTTGCACATTTTTACTTATAAAAGAATTAAAATTATGTTTAATGTCCGACATTTTATTTCGAATATTCGGAGCGGTATCCATCATGTAGTTCCGAATTTGATTTTAGTGTAAGGAATATGGAAGTCGATAGAAACGAAAGCAGATGTGTGATAGCCTTCTGAACGACTACAGGCTATTCATCTTTGGGTTTTAGGCAAAAATCGTTCAAATTTGAATCAGCTGATTCGAACTTTTTGGTTTAGAAGAGGATGATTTCATACCTTTCATCAAATTCTCATACTCTGACACAGTTTGGTCTATTTGCGGATGGATTTTGTGCCCAGTGGATGTCCTATAACTCCACTGGGAAATATTCTTTCAAGATTTTTTTGAGGTTCAATGAATGTTCACTTATGATTTTCCCAATATTTAAAGTTACTTGTGACTCATTTTGTTCGAGAAATCTATTTAGAAAAGGAAAACATCCGTAACATTTTTGTTCAACATATTCAATCCAGAAACCAAATTTGATTTTTAGTGAAGGTATTTTGTTTCTCATAGTAAACGTGGTTAAAATTACCCTTTGTATGGACCTGCTGATTATGTTGAATTTATCGACTATATTGGCAAAATAAACCAATTTTGTAATCTACAATCTAATGTAAATATATACATTTCCTAAGAATTGTATGAAATTCGGATATTATACCACGAAATGTATAAAACTAATGTTTTCTGTGACTAAAATACTCTAATAGATCTGTCATATTCATATTTATGTGCATTGGTGACGTCATTGGTTGGTTAAGTAGATTTATGACAGATATGTTAGAGTATTTTAGTCACAGAGAGCATTAGTTTTATATATTTCCTAGTACAATATCGTAATTTCATACAATTTCTAGGAAACGTATACATGTCGCAGGATATGTGTTTTTTATATTTTATACATTTCCTAAATAGCCTTTTAGATTTCATAATTTTCCGTTAACTTATACATATAATGATAATAAATAAACAAACTAAATAGAGAGAAAACAGGAATGAACCAATGAACAATTCAATTTATTGTACCCTAAAGTAAGAAAATACGACAAATGGCGCTGTAAACGCCATCTGTAGTACAGTACTACATTTTAGGATTACATATGCTTCAGCAAGGTCCATTTAAATATATGGATATCTACTTGCTGAAACGAATCCCGGCGTAGCTAACCTCAACGTGGTAGGCACGTTACCATAATCGAATAAAATAATTTGAAGTGGTCTGTATTCTGTCGAAACTGCCAGACGCGGATTGCGATTTCGATCCTTTTGGATCTCATCAGCGCATCGCAGGCAGCTCTGACAAAACACAGACCAACTTTTACCTGCTGCCTTAACAACGCGTTTTAGAAAATACGACAAATGGCGCTGTAAACGCCATCTGTAGTACAGTGCTACATTTTAGGATTACGTATGCTTCAGCAAGGTCCATTTAAATATATGGATATCTACTTGCTGAAGGCGCTGTTAAGGCAGTTGGTCTGTGTTCTGTCGCAGTTGTCTGCGACGCGCTGATGAGATCCAAAAAGATCGAAATCGCGATCCGCGTCTGGCAGTTTCGACAGAATACAGACCACTTCGAATTATTTTACCCTAAAGTAAGACCGAATGTCCTATCCTGTCATCTGACACATCAAGAGATATTTCATTCACAAACACTGTGGTCTCCATCCCTTTCAAAAGTGAACTGTTAGGATTCGAACTTTTATTACTCGTTTAGTCATGAATAAAATGCCGTTTTTATTGCTCAACTCGAAACGGTTGCTTTTCACAGGTTTTTGTAGGTACCTATATTTTTCTTAAAAACTCATAACAAGAATTTCTTGACTATTTTGAAATTACAAATCATATTTTTAAATGGTTTATTTACCTTTGTGTTTGTTATCATTACAATACGCCATATGATAAATTAAAAACGTAGTTACTGATACTCATACACCAAATGGAACCTTGTTAACGAGTGGAACGCTAGTAAATGTAAATAGGGGTGGGTAATTCGTTCATGTGACTATATATTCCTAGCAACATTACAGCGAATGCCTACGAACCACCAGCAAGGCAAACAAATGCGAACGTATCTAATGTATTCTCAATGTATCCCGGGCTTTAGATGTTNGCTGTAATAAAAAAACATTGTCTCCCCAACGTCAAATATAATCATTGAACCCTTAGAAATGACCAGAAATCGATGTAAAAA